TGTGATGATTAGCTTTGGGAATATTGAGAGATGCAAGATAGTGTTTGAGCTCTCCTGCTGACTGGGAAAGAGGTTGTTGGTTGTTTTTTTTTTTTTAACATTGAGGACTAGCAAAATATTTTACAAAATGCCTGGGCTTTTATGCATTGCGCTTCTAAAGGAAGCCCTAGACTCATGAGCCCCCCCATAAAGACTTTGCTCTCATTCCTAAGCATACATGGGACTGCAAAAGGTAAGGGATCATAGCTTTGGCACAGGACAGTCTTCACTTCCCTTTTCTATTCCATGTGCTGCTCCATTAGCTGGACAGTAGATTAGATGGGAATTTCAGGAATTTTGTGAAGACTGTTTGGGAACCAAAAGCCACTTTGTCCAACTCGGTTTGGCTTAGTCTGAGATCACTGTGGACTAACTGTTACTGAATACTGCTGCCTACAGCTGGACCTTCTATTGCCACACCATGCTATGAATCCTCCGCCCGCCCCCTCTTCTGCACAAGAAGCAATACCTATCCCTTATCTGACTCATAAAAATGAAAAGAATCTCCTTGCTGTTTTGGCATGGGTGGTGGTGTTCAGCAGTAATGGAGGTGAAGAGGCTTCTGCCCGAGACAGTTACTTTTCCCAGAGAAGAGGCCATCTTTACTTCGTGCAGGCTTGAGTAAAGTCCTTAAACATGTATGCTACCTCATGTTTACAACAGCATTGCTTGCTGCCATTGTTCCTTCCTTGCAGGTTGATTTTAAGGTTTCAGTTTGTAGAGTCTTGCTGCCCACTGGATGTGCCTTAGATTTACAGCTAAATTAATGCCAGTTGAAGGGATTGGAGTCTATGACACAGAATATTCATAAGTCTCTGGTGAATAGTAATGTCTGTCTTCCTGAAAGGTAACATCTTCATGGGCAGCTGTCTTGACCAGACAAAGATTTCAGCAAGGCAGGTCTGCAGAGGATGACTTTTCGTTTGATTGATCTGATTGACTAGGGAATGCTATCAGTTCTGTTATAGCAAGAGGTAGAATTAAGGAGTGTAAGGAATTAGGGTAGGGGTGGCATGACCAGTAGTTAGGGCCAGGACTCTTTAGGCCAGGAGTTAAACCAAAAGCATCGAGTTAAACATCATGCTGGAAGGCAAAATTGGAACCATGGGATTAAGTCAGCAGACTTAAGTTAGTCAGGCTCAAGGCTGGCATGAGGAACTTCAGGCATAATATTTTGAAGCATCAGGCAGGAAACAAATGCTTGAGCTGCCCTCCAGTCTCCTGGAAAACCACCTTCATTTCCAGGAGAAAAGAAGTGACATGTGCCAGATGTATGCGAGACTCTGCATTAGTAAATTAACAGGGCTATAACACTCAGGCTTGTGCTGCCTCCTTTAATTGCCTGACATGCATATAGAATGCCAAATGATGTTCTCTAAAGGAAACTGAATGCAGATTATGCTTTGCAGCTCTTAGCACTATTGGTTAGCTGGTACCTATCATGCTGAACATCAGGAGCTCAGTCCACAAGAGGTGAAGGGGCTGCTACTTGTGTAGTTCAGGTGCATGCCAGCAAAAGTCTGCAAAGTTGTGACAGTAGAGTAAGCCGTTGACCTTTTTCTAGCATCATGCCTTGGACTTGTCATTCTTCTTTCTGAGACCTAATTTACAATAGCTTTTGAATTGGAAATAATTGTAAAGGAGGACCACGGCTGCTTTTATCTTTTATGCCCTTACACAGGGACAAACAATCCTATTTAAAAAAAAAAAAATCCACCACTACCACACCACATCGATGTATTGTAGCAATGGTTTAAACAGCCATAGTTACTATAGGGTAATTCCCCCATGCAACACAACATGATGTGCATATGCATGCATACACACACATGCATACACTTGGAACTGAGTAGCTGAGGACTACTAGCTACTACAAGGTAGACTATATAGCTGTGGTGTAAAGTACAATGTGGCCCACTGCGTGAGTGACTGGACTGGGATCTCCTCCCTGCAGTTGAAGTGTTGGTATCCGTTGAGTGCTGATTCATTCCTGGCTGTCTTATGAGCCCAGAAACAAAATAAAACAGGAAATAGTCAACGTAATTCTTTAGTAGTCGTCCTCGTGTCCCCCTTCACCCCCCCTACCACCCCCAAGACTAAAGCAAAAAGCCCCTGGTTTTATTGCAGTATTTGTTAGGTTCTATTATCATATCCATTGCTAAAGGAGGAATGAAGGCAAATGCAAGCTTTTGACAAGTCCTTTGAACATCTTATCTATTCCCCTGCCTCCGCCAACTAACCATACTAGGCTGTTGGCTGCAGAGCTGTGGAAGGAAGATTTGCTCTATTAGCTAAAACACTGGTTTGATTACAACCCCCATCTGGTGTTTGGGTCTTTTTTTTTTTTTTGTTCCCTCCCCTGCCTGCTTTCCCCTTGTTTGTAGTGAAAGTAACATGCCCACTACATGGTAAAATCTCTTACCCTCAGTTCCTGTTAATTTTCTCTGATGGCTTGACCTCCTGTTTTTGTCATCCTACCTATTGGAGCAGAAATAGCCAACTTCTTTGTGATCCTCTTAGCTTCACATCATCTTCCCCAGTTGCACATACTGTGGTGAGACCTAGGTGAAAGCAGCTAAGAACCTGTAGCTCCATTCTGTGAGAAGACTGCTGCAGTTTACTGGGGTATGCATTGGTTCAAATAACACCACCCACCCCGCTCTAGCCCTTTATTCTTTCTTGAATGGGGAAAACATCATAGAGGCAATATATTGTCTGCTGGTTTTTCTATTGCATGTGAGCAGCCATAGTATTCCTAGAGTGCCACGGTTTGTTTAGACCTACCATCTGGCTGCTTGCATCTCTTCTTTCAGGGTGGTTTCCACCAGAAATTTTTCGATACTAACGTAATCTGGAATCAGTGATGGCTAGACTTGTATAGACCTTTGTGAGGGATTTTAAACAGGTCATTTACCACTGTGACACACTTGGTTTACTTCTCTTTTGTTCATCTGTACAGTGACAAAAGAGCTAATGATTAAATTGAGTTTGTTGTGGAGGTATTGACTTGCATCTTGCCACTGGAACAGCCTTCACTAGGACTATAGATATCGACTATAGATTTTCTGTGAGGCTGTGTGTAAATCCCGCGGTGCAACAAGCACAGCGTACAGTTGAAGTTATTTTTGGTGGTCAGGAGCCTGGTATGCTTTCATACCATCTCCCCTTCTTCCCGGAGAAACATGGTAAATGATGTTTTCAGGCGGAGGCTCCAGTGCAGACAGTCTTTCTTTGGTTATAACGATAGTGACAGACAGCTTTTTAAAGAATTGCCTTACGAAAGTTCAATTGGTAATCAAAGAGGGCTGAGACAGAGCACTGGAATTGCTTTTCTCCATTTGGAAAGTCTTTTTCAGATGTTTCTGCTGTTCTCAATAAAGACAGTATTTGCTGATTCAGGTTTGCTGAGAGCGGGCGAGGTTCACCGCTGTGTTCCAGCTGCTTTGCGGTGCTCTGGCAATGCAAACCAGCTGCAGGTCTGGTTTAACTCAAGCCAGGTTTATGGCTGGTTTGCATCACTGGAGCAGTGTAAAGTACCTAAAGCATGCCAGCTAATCTGGCCTATTGCTGAACCATTATAAATGACTTGTTTTTCTTCTTGTTCTTTACATGTAACTTTATTTATAGTTAAAGCCGTAGAAATTGAGTAGATTGTATCACTAAGACCGATTTTGAGTTCTAAACTAAAGTCTATAGAACTAGAGGTTTTTTAAGCCAGAGCTTTTTCTTCTTAACTGAAATAAAATTGTCAGATTACACATTGCTCCTCTGCACTTCTGTGTTATGGATTTCTTTTTAAGTTACACTAGGATTACAGTTGCCTGTTCTTATTATAAGATGAAATAATGATTAGTCTGAGATCTAAAAGAGTAGGCTTTATAAGTTTTATTTTGCAAAATGTGGGCTCAGCTTTTATTCTAAATGCAGTAATTTTCCTCTAGTTTACTGAGAATGTGTGCAATATTTGTGTCATTATCAATATTGTCTGTAATTTACTGATTGAAAATATTTTGGAGGTTTTGAGAGAGGAAGGAAATCACCAACCATGATGATTTTTCTTCTGTTTATAGTAAAATATGTAACTGAAATCATATTTACCTACCTTGGATAGCATGATGAGTGTTCGAAACAAGCCACAAATATTAATGATTAATTATATTAGTCCATGTACAGTATTTTTTTTCCATAATCCAGCTCTTCCTCTGAGGCTCTTAGTGTTGAATGTGTGATGTGTATTTTTAAACAGTATTATACATAGAAGAATGTCAGAAGTGTCATTACAGCTACTCTGATCTACACTTTCCTCAGAACTCAGAATTTTTGCTCTTTACCTAGAAATATTTTTGTATAAAGATTATGGGATAATTTAAAAAAAGAATTCTTTCTGGATAAACATACTGGCATTCAAATCAGAAATTTTATTCCTCTGATCAACTGTATATTGGAAGAAAACATGACAGAATTTGCAAAGTTTTTCTAGACTTTGAGGCAAAGCACCGAAGAATTAATTACTGCCTCGTATTAATTAAGATAACAATGCAAAACCCTTCATTAGAAGCATAGGAAAAGTTCTTCCTTGGTCCTTGGAGAGAATATTATATGCAAGCCCTGTTGTGTGGGTTGCAAGGTGTCACTGGAATTTATATGCATTACTTGTCTAATTGCAGTAAATGTAGCATGTCCAGATAGGTTTAAAAGTTGGATGGCTGTTTGTTACTTGCTGGAAATCACTTGAAACCTTGCTACTCGGAGGCAGCTGTTCACAGGTCCTTCACCTCTCCCCAGAGATAGCTGGAAGACTCTGTTGTTGGACCCTGTCTTTTATGGCAGAAGCAGTAAACATGACAGGTTGTTTGGGAGCCATCTGTTTTAAAATGGTTGCTGCTTTGTATGCAGTAATGAACTTGAGATCAGTTTTCTGTCTGTCTTCATAGTAACAGCCTTGTTTGGTGTCACAACAGGTGGAAGTTGATGGGATGAAACTAAACGTGACCAGCGAGTGGAACCTGGCTTCACCCTTATTGTCTGTCACCATTGATGGCACTCAGAGGACTATCCAGGTAAACTCACCAACGCTTCATTTGTAGAGCTGAGATAACCACGAGCCTTTGGGTATCCAAATAATACTGATATGTGGGGTCTAAACTTGCTGCATCCTAAAAATGATGTGACGACGTGTGAATAACATAATCTTTCTGCTTTGAATACATCCAGAGCTTCAGTGGAGTGAACTTGTCTCAAAGTTACTTATCTAGAGTTTGGAATATCTTTCTTTTAAAGAGAACTTGCTTGTTTTAGACAGAAATTTATCCCAGTTTCTAGGATCTCTTTACTTAATGGCTGTAAGGAGATACAGTTTCTTAATCACTTAAGAAATAAAGAATGGATTACTGCACCACCACCACCCCCCGCCAAACCAAACTAAAAACCGAATAGACTCGAAAAACCAACCAAAACCCACATGGGATCCTGCAGTAAAATTATTCCTTGTGTTTGGATCCTGTGATTTTTTTTTTTTTTTTTTCCCCTTTTGGGCCTTTGCAATTTGAATGTCACAGGCCAGTGCATCTCCCATGTAATGTGTTTTTTTAATATGCTTTTATGAAATATGATTAGTTCCATGATTTGAGAAGAAAAATGTAGAAAACACCCCAAACTTGTGTGGCTCTAAGAAAAGAGGACCAAAAAGATTAATATAGTTGTATATTCTTTCCTTCTGGCCACTAGTGTGTTTGAAATCAACTCCAAACAAAAAGGTGTGCCTTTAACTGCCTTGTAAATTTTCTGAAGGCAATGCCAGTCAGGATTTATATATTTGTTGACAAATCCTTTATTTATAAATACCCATTGATCCTGGTAATAGTGAAAGGAGAAAAAAAAAAATCAGAACTTTTAGAGTTATTGAAAATATCTTTCTACATACAACAATATCTCTTTCCTATACATTTATCAGTGATACAGTGGTCAGACTTCTGATAATTTACGGTGAAATGTGTGAATTTATTTTTTCATTTTCACTCCTGATAAATTACCCAACTGGAAATACTGTCTTTGCTTTGACTGAATTATAAGACTGCAACTTGAAAATAAAAAATATTGTATCTTTCAAGGTTAGTATTGACGGAGAGTGAAATATTCATTGCGTGCCCAGGTAAATTATGGACTTAAGTTTTGTAGATTGCTTGGAAGCTTAATGCCCGCCTCAGGGCTTGTGTATATCTAAAATAATTTTTTATTTTAAAGTGTATTTTTATATTTTAATACTGGTCCATTTTGGTACTGTTTTATAAAGTACATTCCTAATTTTGAGTAGGAGACAATACTGATGTATGAATACATAAAATCTGCCTAGGAGAAAAGCATTATATTTAGAATGGATAACCATATTCAGAAGGCCTCATTGCAAACTATATAACAACTTTATGGCTGGATACAGAACTTGGAGTATAACTAATAGTAGTAAGACCAGTTAACTAAAAGTGTAATATTAGAACTGGCACATAAAATTAGTTTAAAAATTAATGATCATGAGAACTGCACATGCTTTCTTCTAGGAGCTGAGCCAGCAATAGTGTTACTTGCACTCCCTGAGTATGACCAAACTGTATGAAATACTGCAGGGCTAGCCACAGCAACAAGCAATAAGCTGGCTGCACGCTATCTATCCAACAGAATGTGGAGTAAGCACATATGTTGTTTCTTTCTCAGATTTTATCTATAAGTCTTTGCTTTTAGCAAAGAAACCCAGTAGCTTGAAAAGTTATTAATCTTTTAGTGTATATATGTAAATTTATGGGAACCTTAAACTTGACCTCTGATATCCACTCACTGGAATCTAAATTGGTTTTTTGGTTATATATTTCTGCAGACTTGCCCCACTGCAAGAACCAAATTAGACAAGTGTATTCCTATAGGTCAATTTGTCTCCAAAAGCAATTGACCCCTAAGTCTTGAAGTATCTTCTTTCAGCAAGACTTAGCCCTAGAGCCATTTAAGCAACAAATATGGATGAATCGAATAATTCCAGCTGTGCTTTATTAATTTTCAGCCAATCTAATTTCTCTTCATAGTTGGTTTCATTCTTCTAAATTTGCTCAACCAAATACAGTCTTTGTGAACATTGTATTTCTTTGAAGGTTTGATTTATGCACCTTCGGCTCGATCCTGCAGTCTGGCCCCAATCCAGCAAAGCACTTAAGCATAGAAGCAGGAAATAAATAATTTTAAAATGTTTTGGTTTAAAATGTATTTATGTAAATTATAGTCTAGACATTCAAATTGTTGCATATCTGTCGCACACTTAAAAATAAGTAATTAAGCGTGCTGCCGTATTTCCACTCCTCTGCTGAAGGCTCAATGTGTATTAGAGCAAAGCAGAGCGCCAACTCTGCCACAGAGTTAAGAAGGCCTATGAGTTTAAAAACCAGGTTTTCGGAGACTATTTCTAGAGTACGGGATGCGGGAATACATCTGAGTGCCTGAGGAGAGGTATATGCCCTGGTCACAGTCTGTCTAGGGCATATCAGGGCACAAGTAGGATGCGTGGCAGCCCCCTCCCTCCCACTTTTGTTTCCTTTGCGAGGAAGCCCATCTGTGTGCAGCAGATGGGCGCTGCAGAGTGCCTGGCCAGGTCCCCAGATGATAGAGGGACCAGAACCCTGGGGGATACTGCAGGTCCGTTTGCCTGCAGCACGAGGGCTCTGAAATCTTTGCGCTGCTTTGGATTACTGCGAAATCCATAGGATGCTATACAAAGCGATGAGCCGACGAAAACTTGGGATCGTTTGAGCAGGAGGTTTCTGAGATACGGTTTTCAGGGATGAGGGTGTGGGCAGATGTCATAGCATTCCTTGAAGTACGCAGATCCCGTCATGGTTTTTTTTGTTGTTGTTTTTTAGTAGTTCCTTGGCTAATCCTAGTTTCTCAGCATTTTCTCCACTTAGGACTAGACTCTACCTCTCATTTGGGGAGGCTGAATTTAACACGTTGTGAAGTGTAGGATTTTGTTCACCAAGCAAATGAAATTTTTGTGTGCAGAAATACTTTGCCAAAACGGTTTCCCCTACCTGTTTCCAAAGATGTTAGTGGCTCAGAATTTGACTTAGACCTAGCTATTGTGAATTTGGACCGTGCCTTTGCTGAAAAACAGAGAAGTAACTAGAGGCATGTGGTTACAATATGTCTTCCTGAGGATTCAGATTTGAAGGGATTGGCTGTTACTTAATTGAAAATACATATTTAAAATACATTTATGTAAAAAATATGATTTGAATATGATATAGCCTTTCAGGCAATATTTAAAGTAAAAATAAATAAATGAGGTGCTTAATGATTCCTGTGAAGAGTGAGTGGAAAAGAGGACGTTGGTTGAGTTGTAGAAAAGAACCGTAAGAACTCCAGTTGAAACTGGAAGGGAGAATAGTGGTTCAGAATGGTATCCTGGAAAGTAGCGACAGTTGGAAGATAGGCAGCAGGCATATTTTGGGACAATGAGGCCGTTTTTATCCCTCTGTCTCTGCTCCCATGTACAAGTAACCTGGATTTCTGTGAGCCCTGTGCCTGCAGAAGTCATCATCTATGACCTCTTCCTTCTCCCTGTAAATATGAACTGGGGAGCGGGTGGAAGGGGAGAAGGGAAGAATAAGCTGCCTTTTCCATAGAGCTGAACATCTCCTTTTATTCCCTCACGTGAACCAGAATCTAAGGGGACCTCAAGATAAATCAATGAATCCATGAAGTCTAGCAGATGGACTGGAACCTAACTGCAAGTCTGTCCTTACTACAGTCAGATTGCAAGTAACCGCCTTCTAGTGGGACATTGTGCAGGAAGATCAGATATCTGCAGAGAGAGCAGGTTGCCCAAGAAAAAAACATGTAGGAGATCTTCAAACCCTCTTTGCTTTGGCACTACTTGTATTTGGGCAAGTTCTCAAAAACCACCCCACCGACCATCCAAATGCTGAGGCTGCTCTATAGCAACACCACATGGACAGATTTTACGACTCCTTAGTGCTGTTAAATGCTCTGCTTTCATTGATCCCATCGTCAAAGGCTCAACCCATCCTTATATACCATTTACTTGCAGACAGTTCCCTATAGCAAAAGGATTCTAAGCCAACACTTTTGCCAACACTTTTGTACCTCTTCATCGTATCATATGCACCCAGCCTTTCCACTGGCATATTGTCGGCTCCCACTGGTTTCACAGCTCTGCTAGTTTATGTAATGAAACCTTCCACCCTATAAAGGTAGTGCAGGCATTCTGCCTGGAGCCTGGAAAACTCTTGGTGGCTTTTGGCAGCTTCAGCAAAGCAATTTTACAATGGCACTTGCGATGCCTTCTCTTTGAATTTCCTGGCTTTCAGAGGATTGGTCTCTGCTGAACTGAAGCTCTGTAGGTCCTAGACAGAACTCAACTGGACAAGGTCCTGAGCAGCTCAATATTACTTTGACATTAGCCTTGCTTTGAACAGGGAATATGACTACCCGATTTTCAGAGGTCTCTTCTAGCCTAACTGTTCTGTGACTCTGTCGGATGTCCCAAACTCTATGGTAAAAAGGTCTTTATCAGTCACAGCAAGGTGTAATTAAGAGAGTAATGGAGTTAGTAAACGTGATCCTGTAAAGCTGAAATCATCAGTCGCAAGCTTCAAGTATTTTTGTGAATGAAATACATGAAGATGTATCAGTGGAGTTTTCTCTACTTACAGTGTTATGGAGAATTCAATCATGGCATCACTTATTATTTTTTCATTTAATTTATTTATTGCATCAACAGTTGCAGCAGGAGGAGTATATTCTACATCCTGGGACATGACAAATTTAAGTGCTTCTCCGATACCATGTTTCTTTTGATTATTATTTTGGTCTATAATAACAGAAAAAATGAAAATGCTGTAGGTTATGAAGGCTTTGTTCCTGGGAAATGTCTGACATTCTGGGAAATGTCTGACAGGAGAACAAAGCCTATGCCCAAGTATTCATTTCCTTCAACCCTGTGGAGACTTTTTTCAAACATACGTGTAATTTTTTTTAGAAAAATTACCCATATATACATTTA